TCTCCAATTTTAAAGGTACTGGGAAGAGATAGTGCCTGAAAATTTAAACATTCTTTTTCATGGCGTAAATGAATACGTTAAGGCTCCCCAAATTTTTTCTGGTTCAAAATTTCGGTTCCTTAGAATTATCGGGGGGCGGGGGCGAACTTTTTTCTTAGGAACCAATTTTTAAAATAATATTAATAATTAATTTTGGTTAGAAATACAAAAAAATATCGATTTTTCGACCAAAAATGGCCCTTTTTAACCCATTTTTTAAATTTTTTGATGGTTTTTCGAGTTAGACATAGTTTTTTTGTTAGTAAAAACATTCTGAAAAAAATACTTCCATTAGGTTACTCGGCATTTCTCGATGAATACAAAGTTACAACTATCCGTCCCTGGATTGCATGCCGTAATCGGTTAAACCTGGCCGTTTTAGTGCTTAAAATCGATTTAAGGCATCGTTTGTTACAGGCTGGTGACGCTGTTTGCTCTCCTTTTCTACGGCATCTGCTTTTTCTACGCGTCGGCCGATACGTTGACGCAAAATCGATTAGTGGCAGCGAGATGTGATACACGGTACGATTTTCTCTCTTTCGCTCTCTCTCTGTCTCTGTCTCTCTCCCACTCTCACTCTCCCTGTCTCTCTTTCGCTCTCTCTATCTCCTCACTCTCTGTCTCTTTATCTCTCTCTCTGTCTCTCTCTCTCTCTCTCTCTCTCTCTCTCTCTTTCTCTCTCTCTAATCCCTCTCCCCCATTTCAGCGAAGTCTTCTCCACCGGCTACAAACTATTCGAGTCAATCCTAATCGTCATCTGCCATCTGATTGCCGTCTGTCTATTTACTATCGTAATCGGTCACTTCCATTGCTATGCAAAGCAGCGGCCGATCAGGCGGTGAGTCCATTTTAAAGAAGGGGATTTATGGTGAAAAGCGAAACTAGCAAAAATCCATGAGGATTAAAGGGAGTGAGACAGGTAGAAATTTACTAACATGAATGGCCAATTGGCAGAGATGTTTGAGGGTTAAAGGGAGCGTGACAGCTAGAAATTAACTAGCCCATAGCGAAATGAATTGGTAACGAAAAAAGGGTGCTAGCAGAGATGTTTGAGGATTAAAGGGAGCGCGACAGCTAGCAGAGAAATTTTAGAATATTAAAGGGAGTGTGACAAATCTAATTTCAATTTTGCAGCGAGAGTAAAAGCGGCGCGGCTGCGTTGCGTCAACAGACGCGTGTCGTCCGTACATTTTCCATCTTTTCGGTGATGACACTATGTCTTGTTGTGATTCCATTTATTGCTGTATTTATTCTATCTTTATTCACGAAAAGTGACGGGCCACACAGTCGACTCCTCAATAATGCCTATTTGTGGACGGTTAAGGTAAGCAGATTGATTTTCATTGAGTAATCGGTTATACACGGAAAATTAAATGACGTAAGCGGTTATCCCACCAAATCTGATCGCCTAATCGATTAAGCCGGACAACAATTCAGCCGTAGCACGTCCCCGCGAAACGCACTTAGGATTGGAAGGGTGTGCGAGGCGGTGTGGTCGCGTCGCGACAGGGAACCGCTTACGCGTGCTATAAGATACTTGTGCTTTTCGGCTGAAAATCACGTGCAATTGCGGCGGTTCGTCGCCTAAAACGCGCGCCAGCGACAGGACCCCCTGCGCAGGCCTGCCAATTGGCCTTGGACGCCCTTCCAATTCTAGGTGCGCTCCAAGCTGGGGTCGGTTCGTAATGGTAGGCGGCTAGGCATCATGAATTTGCTCGCGTGATCGGTTATACACGAAAAATTAAACGACGTAGGCGCTAATCCCACCAAATTTGATCGCCTAATCGATTAGACGCACCATAAATTTGATAGCGTAATCGGATCTACCTGAAAAAAAAATAACTGTCGTAATAGGTTAGATCAGCGCGAATTTAATTTCCTAATCAACTAACCAGAGCAACAATTAAATGACGTAAACGGTTAGGCCTGATAATTTGATAGCGTAATCGGCTATACACGAAAAATTACGGTTAGAACGATAATTTTGAGCGCAGAATAGGTTAAACATTGGAAATATCCTATCCTATAAGCGAGAAAAGTATGTCTGTTTTCTGTTCAGCCGATTTCTCGGCCGCCAGGCCGAATTTCCGGCTGATTTTTGGCATGCAAGTAGAGAAACACATTTGTCAGTGACGCATTTTTTTGTTTGGCGAAATTCCTTCATTTAACGATTTTACAAGCAAAATAGTGAAAAATCCTTAACATTTTGCCCAAAAAAAAGGTATGTCCGGAGGTTTTCTCGGCCGCCAAGAGGCGCTGGGCTCTGATTTTTGGAGGGTGAGTGGTAAAAGCAATTCTCCCGATACTATTTTTTGGATTTTGCCTAATTCCTTAAAATAAAGTTTTTACGAGCTTTTTACTAGACGGTCCTTAATAAAATGGCCGCAGTCCCGTGGTGTCCGGGCAATAACTCGAATCCCAAATGGAATTTTGGGCTGTAATTTGGTCTACTTATGTATTCGATAGTGGGGATCACGCGCAGCTTATTATTTTTACAAATTTTTGGCGCATTCAAACTCAAACTCAAAAAGAGAATTTTGTAAAGTTATCAGAAGTCCGCTCTCCCGGGATGAGGCGCGCCCCCAGGACAGAAGAGGCCTTTCCCGCTATCAATCGCCGCGTCGCCTTGGTGTATTGGACTGGCGCCCGGTCTAACAAACGCGTGGTCACGGTTCGAATCCACAGGGAATTTAACTTTTTGCTTTTTGGTAGTTCAACAACAAAACATATTTCTAGGCTCTCGGTGTGCGAGTTTTAAGACCGGGCCCTGGCTCTAGCGCCGCAGGCCAAAGAAAAGGTACTTGGCCCTGGCTCTGGCGCCGCAGGCCAACGATGGTTCCTTGACCCAGGCTCTCGCGCCGCAGGCCAAAGAATGATTCCTTGAGTCAGGCTCTTGCGCCGCAGGCTTCGATAAAAGGAAAGGGAATTGATGATTCCTAGACGGGGTCCAGTGGAAAAGGGCCGCGAAGCGGTCTTTTTTCCACTGGTCGTAGCATAATCGATTATCTTCCGAAAATTAAACGCCGTAGACGGTTATACGAGCATAAATTCGATGACATAATTGTTTTTTTCAGATAGCCGTGATGAACCCGACATTAAACGTGGTCGTCTACGCGTTACGGCATAACGAGATCTACGTGGGTGTGAGGAGTCTATTAGTGCGACAACCGGTAAGGAGAAGAAAAAGGGCGAAAAACTCCTAATTTCTTTGGAGTAAGAAAGAAGCGCTGGTTCTAAAATTTTCCTCTGCCTTGGCCAGCGCCTTGCGTATCTTACCGTATCCCGTATCCTAACGTAGCTCTGCGTACTGTCACCGTATCCTAGCGTAGCCCTACGTACAGATACGTACGCTACCGTACTGCTCGGGTCTGTTGGTCGGACCGTATGCTTGCGTAGCCCCTACGTACACGTAACGTATTTCATCCATTTCTGGTCAAACCATCAACCGTATCCCGGCGTAGCCGTACGTAGGTGTATGTACGTTACCGTTTTCTGCCGGAGAACCGTATCCTAACGTAGCCTCCCGTACACCTGCGTACCTTGCCGTACTGCTATTCGGGCCGTATCATAGCGTAGCCTCAGGTGTTTTCCGCGGCTCATATCGCCGTTTATTACCATATAGGATCGTGCTCTACCGTATCTTTGCATAGCCTCACGTACACGGGTGTACCTTACCGTACTCTTAACGTACCCAACGATTCCCCATTTCAGATGCCAGATTCGACAGAACAATGGTGTGTATCTCGAGGGATTGGTGTCACCCGTTCTTCTCTTGGTAGATCGATGTCATGCCCAGATACACCGCCCCGATTCAAATATTCGTTGGCGCATTATAGGTATCGTTTAAAGGACCATTGAAGGCAAAATCACACCCCGATTTTGTCGAAATTGTTTTATGTACTTTATGTATTTTTAAGGGTTTTTGAGATGATTGGGTTTTTTAAGGAACCGTTGCAGGCAATAAACAGAAGCCCGTATTTTGTAGAAATTAAATATTTTTAAAGGACCGCCGAAGGCAAAAATCAGAATTTCGTGTTTGGACAGAATTTTTGTTTTTGAATGATGTTTCAAAAATTCAAATTTCGGGGGTCAGATCGAAAAAACTTATCTTGGTGCGTCAAATATGAATTTTACGCTCATTTTTCGGGATTTAGAATTTCCCCAAATCCTTCTGCTAGCTTGCCCGTTGTTAAACTACAGTTTTAAGCCAGGGTTGTTCCTTTAAAGGTCAGTTGAAGGGGAGAAGAGCTATGGATTTTTATCTTGCCAATTTCAGGATGGTGCAAGACCTGCAGCAACGGAGAGAGACCGTCTCTCTCGCCCATGCCGATGAGAGGTTGATCCACAATGAGGAATCGAGAGAATAAAGATAACTTTTCTCGATTTTCGATTTTTTTCGATTTTTTTTTGTGCGATAATTATTCCGGCTGATGATTCTCGCCCCCTATCCAAAATACGAGTCCCCCAAGCCATGTTGATCTTTGTCGTCAATTGTATTTTGCTGTATTATTTTTGTGTTTTTATGGATAAACTGTATTTACATTCTTTTGACTGATTAGAGTATGAAAAAAGAAATTCGCGGTCTAACCGATTACGCCATCAATTTAGCTAACAGATTTTCTATATTTACCCAATGAAAATCCCGATGGTATGCTTTAATTTCAACAAAACGCATTTATTACAGTACCCAGAACAGCCTGCGTCGAATTACATCGCGTAATCGGATTGCACACGAGAGAGTGGAGAATTAGAGAAAAATAAGCACCAAATATCACACTGCAGAACAACATGTTATCGATCGATTCATTGGAGTTTGGGCCCGGATTGGTCGATCCTGTACAGAAATATATGGGGAGAGAGATAGCGAGAGAGAGAGAGCGAGAGTGGGAGAGTGAGAGAGTGAGAGTAATAGAGTGCGAGAGTGAGAGAGTGACAGAGTGAAAGAGAGAGTACGGTAGCTATAAAGCCGTACTAATGACAGACGACAATCCGTGGACCATTAGTGTTGGGGGAAGGGTGTCGGTGAGGACTCGCAGGATTCGGAGGTACCTTAAAAAGTCAAATTCTTGTCGACCGATTTTACAATACACCAGCGCTGACCCCCCTACGCGGGTGTTCAGCGCTGGCCCGCCCCCACAATTTTAATTTTGGATTTGAATGAAAAATTTGGCTGAATTCCCGGTCGGGCGGACAGACGGACATTAGAAATTTATATTACATACATTACGATATGTAATTCCAAAAGCTGAAGCTAATACCAGATATCGTTTGCCCCAATTTCCCTAAAATTAAAAACGCCTATTCGATTACGACATGTAATTTGTACCTATCAAGTCGGATATTTTTTTTTGGCTTCCAAGGTCCTTTAAAATAATTCTGTACCGATCAGAGTCCATTTCGGCGCTGTCTGGCGGTAGTGGGAGATTCAGGAAACACAGCGCCGCCTCGGCCGAATATCTGGAAATTGTAGTTTGTATGGATGGAGAGAGAGAGAGATGCTACAAGCTACAAACTACCCCCATACCAAGCTAAGCCCCCCAAAAGTCCAAAATTACCAATTAAAAATTTACAAAATCACCAAATTACAGACTACAAGGCGGGCTACAAACTACAGACTACAAGGTATGCGGTAAAATACAGACTACCAGGTAGAATATAAAATACAGACTACAAGATAGTACATAAAATACAGACTACAGGACGGGCTACAGACCTCAAGGTATGCGGTAAAATACAGACTACAAGGTAGGCTATAAAATACAGACTACAACATAATCCATGAAATACAGACTACAAAACGGGCTACAAACTACAGACTACATGACGGGTTACAAACTACAGACTACAGGATAGAGCTAGAGGATAGGCTACACACTACAGACTACAAAATAGGCCAAAAGATACATACTAGAAGATAGGCTACGAACTACAGGATAGGCCTCAAAATGAAGACCACAAGCTAGGCTATAAAACAAAAAACCACAAGGTTGGCTATAAAATACAGACTCCAAAACAGGCTACCAGCTAGAATTCGCCCAAAACTACAGACTAAAGTTATTGAACGTGACTACTAGCTACAAATAATCGACTACGAGATGTGGCCTATGGACTACAAACTCCAGATTTCTCTTGCCCCTCACCGTTTGACCATATCATTAAATGCCGCAACATATGCATTGGGCAGTTCGATGGTTGGCTGTGATTGTGGTGATGCTCCATTGACACCTGATGCTCCTGCCGCCTGTCCAAAATGACAGACAACATGATCCCATGGGACAACGATTGATTCGGCATTGATTCGAAGGGCATCCAGCATCCCTTTCAGTTGACGCTCACGCCGGTGCATGTCCTTAAATAAAATAATTTATAATTTGTAATTTTTGAGTTTTTTTTTGGTCCCGATGCAGATTGCAGACAACCGGAAATTTATGGTTTGATGGGGATTTTACGGTTGCCATGAAACCACTATTGGCGGTTTCATGGCCCACTTTTTACGACATGGTGCGTCCAACAAAATTTGGCCTCAAGGCTCTTTAAACCGAAAAGGATACTTACCTGGAGAGAATTGACGCAAATGAAGACGCGCAACCGGGCGATATTCCTCCATCGAGATGACATTGACAGGATACAGGCCAATTGCAGCAGGAATAGCGAGCTAAAAAAAAGGAGCATTTGAAATTATCGTCTGTCTCACTTCCTGTCTCTCACTCTCTCACTCTCACTCTCTCTGGCTCTCTCTCTCACTGTCTCTCTCTCTTTCGCTCTCTCTCATTCTCTATCTCTCTCTCGGTTCTCTCTCTTCCGCTCTCTCTCACTCTCTATCTCTCTCTCGGTTCTCTCACTCTCTCTGTCTCTCCCGCTCTCTCTCTCACTCTCTCGCTCTCTCACTGTCTCTCTCTCTTTCGCTCTCTCTCACTCTCTATCTCTCTCACGCCCTCTCTTACTCACTCTCTCTCGCACACTCGCTCTCACTCACTCTCTCACGCACTCTCTCTCTCTCTCGCTCCCTCTCTCTCACTCTCTCTCTCGCTCTCTATGTCTGTCTCTTACCTGTTGTCCCATCCCAACCCGGTCTCGCCGGGTTTTTGCAAGTCGACCGGCCACACGTCGATGAATCTAAAACTCAACGCATTAAACTTTTTTTCATCCATGATTTTGATACCTCTTCTGTCCATTCCACCCTCTCGATAACGCTTCCTTGTCCAGTTTATAGAAATGGCGGGCCACACACAGATTTTTCGTCATGTGAAGCACGTCTAGAATTGCATTTCCGCTCTTTTTCGGCTTTTGGGCAATCGATTACGCCATTAAAATCACCCCATCTGGCTGTTTTTGAAAAGTCCAATCGATTACACTAGCTAAATGCGAAGGCAGCCGATAAATTACGCCATTAAAAGCTTCCAACTGGCCGGTTTTTGCGAGTCTAATCGATTACGCCATGTAATTGACCCTAACCGACTCTCTTTCGCTGGTCTAATCGATTATGTTAGCTAATTCGGGCACCTTTCTGCTCGATTACGCTATATTAGTAGATTCCGAGCGATTTACCCGGAAACTGACCGCTTAAATGATTTAATCCCTTACGCCATCTAATTTGCGGAGCAATCGCTTACGCACTGTATTTCAATCCCTCTCTACCGTCACTCTCCCTTTAAAAGTGGATTTTTGTACCTTTTAGTGCATTCACATAGTCCACCCCGCCGATCCGCTCCATATTTCCGTTCAGCTCCTAAACACGCTGGTTTAACCGGGGGTCCTTGCGCGTTGAGGTCGCGTTACAGTTCCAAGGTAATGACTTACCGTAGGCAGATAATCGCCAGCCGTGAAATATTCCACGACGGCTGATCGGTCGATTTTCGAGTATCGGAGGTCTTTCAGGAGTTGTTGCTCCTAAAATTACATGTTTTTTTGCTGTGTGATCTTACGCATCAGTTGGCGATTTTTTAGGCAAAAATAGGCTTCAACAAGCTCATCTTTGACAAGGACTCCTATTTTTTTGGTTTTTTTTCTGACCTGTAGTGTGGCTTCTCTGGGCGTCTCCTCATGGAACCCAAGCACAATCGTATTCGGCTTCATGGCCCCCAGCCCGGAGAGGCGCATCAGCTAAAACGGACTTATGGATATTGCCTTAAATGGTCCTTTAAAAACAATTTTGATTTTTTGTGAATGACATTTTGCCTGTTTTGCACCACTTCCGGAGAATATGCAATATTATTGAATACCCGTAAAATGCTGAAAACGTTCAAAAATAAATTTTTGAGTACAAAAATAGGTTTTCCGATTGAAAAACGGCTTGTTCATGCCGCACGTGGATTTCGATTATCTATTTTTACCTGCTGCAATCCAACTCGAATATTGTTCGAAATCGTGAGCTCGACGAATGCCTTCAACTTCAGATAGTCGAGCAGGGAGAGCCAGTACGGGAACACCTAGTTACGGAATGTTTACAGCCGTAGATGTCGTGGATTTACCTGTTGTAGCGGATCGAGCGGCTCCTGAGCGTCCATAGCCCCCTTTCGTACATGACCAATCACATACAGGCCACTCTTCTTCAGATCGTTCACAAAATCCATCAACTGAACGGCAGAGCCGGGCCGGGATACCAGGAGCAGGATTTGCGGGCGCCAGTACCTGGAATTACGTGGCGTAATCGATTAAGACATAAAATTTTCGAGCTTTAAAAAGTGAATACTCACTTGACGTGCTCTTTCCGAACATCTAGAAGAAGGAGATACTTCCGGACCTGATGGTAGATGAGGGCCTGAGAGATAGATCCCCACGAACCGACTGGAGCCTGGAAAAAGTGGAAATAGGTGTATCTGGGGGCAGACAAGCCATCCCCCCTCAAGAAGAGAGAGAGAGAGAGAGAGAGAGAGGCCAGAGATAGCAAGAAAACGCAATAAATGGAGATTTTTCGGCATTTGGGTGGTCAAAAATTTTTGTTGCGAGTGAAAGAGAAGGAGCAGAGAGAGAGAGAGAGAGAGAGTGAGAGAGAGAGCCAGAGAGCGAGAGAGAGTGCGGGAGAGAGAGAGAGGGAAAGAGAGAGAGAGAGAGCCAGAGTGCGAGTGAGAGAGAGGGAAAGAGAGAGAGAGAGAGAGAGAGAGAGAGAGAAAAGAGAGAGAGAGAGAGAGAGGGAGGGAGCGAGATACCAATAAAACCTGAAAAAATCGCGATTTTGAGACCTTTTTGAGGTCAGAAGCTGGCTTAAAATACGATTACGATACCTGGTAGTGGAGAATCATGATGAGCACGAGAAGCACAACAATAGCCAGCGCAGACATAGCCGAGTCGACGACCAACATCATTGTGGCTGTGGCCAGTACACCGCCAGCGCATGTTTGCCACGAGAAATATTTGAAGGACGGTCTGAAATTTGCGAGTTTTAATAGGAAAACAACGCCGTCTTTCAGGGTTAGGTTTTTGGCCGCCTTAAATCAACTGTTGGCCTTGAAAAGCTGAAAAAAAACACCTGAAATTCGGGGCGGAAGTCAACTCGAGCGCGAGCGTCGCGATATTCACCCCCATGTACGACAGAAGGAAGAAAATTGACGTCAACTTGGCGATTTTGTTCATGGCGCCTGGAAAATCGATACTTTCGGTTACGCTAAGACGATTACGACATGAAATTTCGCCTGTATCACGGTAGTACGCAACTTACCTATAGACAGCACGAGCACCACGCAGAGCCAGGCGATAAACACCGACACCACTGGGTTTTTATCCCCAATTTCGATTGAGGCCGGGCGGAGAAGGATACCGAAGAGCTTGTCCTGGAAAAGTACACTCGAAAATATCGAATTACTCTAGCATAAGGTGTATCCTGGCGTACAGTACACCAAAACTGCTGCAAATATTTTTTACTGCTAGTGACAGATATGGCATTGTAAACTGTATTCTGGCGTACAGTCTAGCCATAAATCCGAATAAACTAATTTTTAGAAGCTAACTAAAGAGATAAGGTAGCGTAAGGTGTATTCTGGCGTACCGGATGCCCAAAAGTGCAAGAAAGGTAATTTTTAGCTTCGTAATTTGTAGCTTATCGTACAGTACACAAACCTGTGACAATCTGTTCAGCACTCGGCTCGACCCAATCAAATTCGAGAGCGAAGAGAAGACCGTAGTCGAGAAAATGCCGACAAGGATAAACCAACGGGAGACGTTCACATCCAACATCACCTAAGAATGGTGTTCACTCTCTCTCTCTCACTCACTCACTCACTCACTCTCTCTCTGTCTCTCTCTCTCTCTCTCTGTCTCTCTCTCGCTCTCTCTCTCTCTCTCGCTTACCGTATAATTGTTCTGCAACAGCTCTCGACTGCACGTGGCGGCCATCAAAAGGGCTGTCAGCACGTAGACGACGAACGTCGTGAAAACGGCCTAAAATTAGATTCTTGGCGCTAGAGGGGGACGAGCAGAGATTCTTTGAGAAAATTCTAAACTGCCGTACCTGGACGGTGCCGCGTGGGATGGAGACGGAGGGTCGAGCCAATTCCCCAGACATGTTTGCACCGGCCATTAGACCTGAAATGATGGTTTTGGTGGCGTAATCGATTGTCTATCTGAATCCACAATCAAAAATTGGGCATTACTGCCTTGCGCGGCCCTTAAAGAGACCGGCAATGCCCTGAATCGACCCCCTAGGTCTCGACAACTACCCTGCTAAACGTAAAACGCGTACAGAAACGTCTAAAAATCGTTTAAGTGTTGTCGTTAGGTGGACCGCGTAGTTGTCTAGACCTAGGCAAAGGAAGGGCAGATTCTTCGACTTTCTATCCCCCCTTCAAGGCGCTTTCGACTCCTAAAATTTTCTAGGTCTCGACACTGCAAAAAACCCTAAATTATACCAAGCAGTGCGGCTAAAATACGACTTATAGGTGTTGTTTTTTAGCGTGCCTAGTACTTGTCGAGACCCAGGCAAATGAGATGGTTGATTTGAGGGCTTCCTAGTCCCTTTAAAAGCCAAAGAACTCGCCAAAAACCCACCAGTAACCCCAGAGAATATGATGGCAAACATGAGGGCGAAATCGACGGGCTTATCCGTGGTATAATCATGGGTATAATTGGATAGCATATTCTCAGAGAGAGAATGCCATGACCATGCCGTATATCTGGCCGTCAGATTCTGATCATAGTCCACGTGACTGCCCGATGACGGATCAGAGATGTTGTCGGGCACCTGAAAACACGTAGTTAAGGGATTTCATGGCGTAATCGAATCAATTAAGCCGATTTTCATGGCGTAATTCGTTCATGAAATCGAAATTTTAAATTATTCGGCGTAATTAAATGGATTTTCGCTAAATAGCTTTTCATGCAGTAATTCTTAATTTCTCGGAATTTCCGAAATGTCGTAATTAAATAATCTTCTACGCCATGTAATGCTGAAATCCGCGGAAAACTTAACGCGCGTAATCGAAAGATATCTCGTTGCGCAATGGATTTTTAGGGCATTACGTTGCGTAATCGGATAAACCCACTGACTTTAGGGCCATAAAAATTACAGGATTTAAGGAATTAGATTGCGTAAGCGGCTGGAGTTTTTAGAAAACCGCACCCCGTAATCGATCGGAATTTTTTTTACTACTTCCCTAGCGCAATCGGCTAGTGCCCCCGGGAATTACATAGCGTAACCGGTTTGAATAGCTACGTCCAATTTTTCAATTTTCCTGTTGTAATCCGTTTATCCTAAGAAAAATGCATAGCGTAATCGGTTCCAATTCAAAAGTAAATTCTCTTCGATGGCGTATCGTAACCGAGTACGGGGTGTCCCTTTCACCCCTCTAACTCGAAGGAGAAGTATCGGATCGGAATGATAGCTACACCATTCGAAAGCCTTTTAAACGGTCAATTTGCAACAATCTTCAAAAACCATGCCTTGATTTAAACGCACCATTTTAAAACGCATTTAAATTATTAAGGAACAGCCTCTACGTCTAATTAACGGCTACTTCCGGTCATTTTGCGTGAGGAAATTGACGCAAATTAGCTCGTATGCAACCTTGAAACACCGCGCGAAAATTCTACAAAATGGCTTGTAAAATAGCGTATTTAATATACTTCTCCGCCCACCCTGGTGGCCCTCTCAGGGGGACAGAGGGGGGACTGAAAGGGGGGATGGTGGGGCCCCAGGGGACCCCGGGGGGATTCCTTCCCCCACCCCCACCACAGGGCGCCCTGCCAAACCCGGCGATTCATCCTTTAAGAAAAACGCGCATGAGAGGGGAAGACGGGGCTAGCCTACGGCACGCTCCAATCGACGCGCAATTGGTTCTTAAAGCAAAGGGGGTCCGTCTTCTGCGCTTTCAAGCCTCTGTAACTTTTTTATACGGCAGTTTCATAATCTGGGTGGCCGCTCAAAAAATAGAAGAGACTTTGCTCTACCTTTTAATAGTGGTTTTGTCAAAATCGAGCGTTGGAATCGAGACTTCTGATGGTTTGAAGTTTGAAAATGAGGTGCATGTTATCGTCTGAGCTCAAATCCAGCTAAATCCTGGCCCAACCGCCTCAACTACATTTTCTGGAAGAGTATCTTTCATGAACTACCCAATATTGAGAAAATTGGGCTTTTAAAAATTTACGCGACGATTCCAATTCAATGTTTTCTGAAGTTTTCAATTAGCTATAACTTTTGTTTATGACGGTTTTCGAATCTACTAGCAGACTAGGAACTAAGAGCAGACCTTCCTCTATCTTTTGCACCTAGTTTTAGAATAGCCCAGCGCAGAAATTTAGCGAATGGGTCCTGTAAGAGGGCGCGATAAGCTTACGATCTTTACTGGCCTATTCCGCATGGAGAGAATGTTCCGCTTGTATTCTTAATTTCTTTATTCCTAGCGAGTCTATTGGCTGCATGCCTCAGGGGGTAGGGGGCACGGTCATTTGGGGGAAGGGGGGGTGCCCCCCGGGGGGTCCCCCCTGGGGGGCCCCCCCACCATCCCCCCTTTCAGTCCCCCCTCTGTCCCCCCTAGGGGGGGCCCACCCGGGGTGGGCGGAGAAGTATAGTATTTAAATAAAAATATGGTTTTGAAAATTGTTACAAATTGGCCGTTTGAAGGCCTTTCGATTGGAGTAACTACCATTCGGATCCAATAATTCCGCGTCGAGTTAGAGGGCGGTGTTTTTTTTATTGGGACGCCCTGTAAGCCCGAAAAATTATTTTTTCCCTAGCGTAATCGATTCGATTGGAATAAATTACGTCAATTTGGAATCGAACCCCGACGCCTTATCTAGCGTAATCGAATGCGGAACTCACCAAATAAGCGTGTGTATTCGTCTTTGGTATAGTAATATCCTTAGCTCCATTGGTGAGTACGGTAAATAGATATGTGGAATAGCAGATAGAGATTGTAATGAAGGTGATGAGGGCTGTCTTCGCGAATAGACTCGCTCCAAGGAGAGACACTATCAGCAGGAACACCGACACCAACACACAGTACACGAATCGCCAGCCCGGACTGTCGGGGAATTCTGAAAAACTTGGTTAATAAAAATCCTGAGCTGTTTCTGCTAGCCTGCCCTCTTTAAAAATCTCAAAAACCCACGTCCATTTCCGATATTATTGAGAAGAGCCTCCGTGAAACCCGAAATATACAGGGCGCAACTGAAGACATTCGCCACAAAGAATAGCACTCCGATTGCACCGCCGAATTCTGGACCCAGCGAACGGGATAGCATGTCTGAAAAAAAATAAGAAAATTAGGGCTTCTAAAGGGAGGATGACATTAAAAATAGGTGGATTGGATGTCAGATTAAAACCTAGTATCAAAACAGTCAGACAGTACGTTTTAAAGGACCATTGAAGCGAAAAATCACCGTTTTAAAGGGGCTCGAAAGCCGAAATTCACGCATGCCGCGGTTGAACCAATTGGTCAAAAAACGGAAGGGTCTGCCTAGCGCACCCAGAAAATTAATTTCGTCGCGAAAAAAAACGTAAAATATTTGAGTAAACCCGGAATGTTCGCGGGGCAAAAAGGCTTTTTGAGTGCGCGGCAATTACATGTCGTAATTACATGCGTTGTAAGGCACCCAATCTCTCTCTTTCTCATTCTCTGGTCAATTTTCCTAATTAAAACGTCTAGAATGGTCAAAACTCGTTGGGGACTTCAGAAATAGCGTCAGTATGTTTGAATTCAAGCGTTTTCACGTTAAAACAAGGCAAAAGATCATATCAGAGCGAGCGGTCGCGTCGCGGTCGCATCGGGCTATTTACCAGGAATCAACGCCGAAGGGCGTCGACCAAATTTCGGAGCCCCCTTTAAAGGTTTGGTGATCACTTCAGTCAACATTCTGACCGGCAGCTAGTGTATTAATCAGGAAAATGCGCACGCACAGAGGGCTACAAACCGCAAAACTCCGAAAAACCTACAATAAACGCCACCGCCCTCGATGGCTCCATTTGACGAAATTGCACAGAGCGAGAGAACGGTCAGCATCACGATTGCGTACGCCAGTAACAATTGGACGACCGTCATAACGAAGCCCAATTGGCCCACCACGAAGCCTGTAAAATTAAAGTTTTTAAAATAAATCTTTTTGAGGCGCAAAATTGGGTGTTAGGAAGTCAGAAACGGAAAACAAAAAATTCATTTCCGTTAAAGTTATCTTGATTTTAAAGGTACTTGGAAGGTAAAACTCACCCATCCTCATAAAGAGTAAAATGGAGAACATCGATAGGGCGACCGGGGCAAATACACCGCTAATTGTCGATAGACCTCCAGGGCGCGCTGCCGAGATGTCGAGGCCTGAACAATTGTAATTTGTAGTCTGTAGTCTTCCTGATTTGTAGTTTTTATTCTACGGTTTTTGAAGTTGTAGTTTGCAATTTATTTTTTTTGGTTTGTATTCTAGGCTAAATCGTACCTTGTAGTCTAGTCTCATGAATGTAGTTTGTATTCTGTAGTCTGTCGTCTGTTGCCATGTTCGGGTTCGTATTCTGTAGTCCTTAGCCCTATTGGACGTTGTATTTTATAGCCTCACGAAAATGAGTTTGTATTCTGTAGCCTGTAGCCATAAATATCTAGTAAATGTAGATTGTGACTTATTTCATGGCACTCCTAAATTGTAGTTTGTACTTCATAGTTATAGACGTAGCCTTATGCAATTGTTTAAACGTTGTATAAACTACGGTTTTTCTAAGATTTTTTTAAATAGTTTGTAGCTCTAGGAATTATAGTTTGTAGTTTGTGTCAGAACTTTCTAGTCTATATTTTGCTAAAAAATTCTAATCTTTCTAGTATGTAGTTTGTAGTCTAACCAGCCGTTTGAGGTCTGTCATCGCAAAAAAAAACAGCAGAAAAATTAAAAAATTGCAGTTTGTGGTTTTAGTTTTCATTTAATCAATTTAATAATTTAAATTTATTTTAATTTAATTTAAGTGGAAAGGAGGTTAATTCTAGGCTCGAAATCCATTTTTAGATTATATTTTAATTTCTTAAAGCTTACTAGGCGACGGTGGTCCGGATGGGGTAGCGATGCGACTTCTCGCCAGCACATCTTCGTCTGAAAAATCCAATTTAACCAGAAATTATTGAAATTGGGCAATTTTTAAGCCTTTTTAACCCCCAAAAAACCCAAAACCCCAAAAATTCAAGCTTTTTTATACCTTTTCATATCGTAATTGTTTGGGGTTAGTTGGTTTTACCCGCTAAATAGGTATTTTTCGATACTATCAGGTTTTAAATTTTTTTAGCAATTAAAATTCACTGATTTCGCCGACGACGGGCGGTTGGCTCTCGAGATTCACGTGAAAATGGTCGATAGGAGCCCCGGGGAGCTCGTTGCGGTCGTGGATTTCCATGATTTAGCAATCTGCCTAGCAGGCTGCTGTTTTATAGCGGAAAACCGAGTTTTTAGGGTTGTTAGAAATTCAGAAATCCCTCTTTGGCCAAACTGGTAGTCAGTGAGCTGGAATAGCGATAGAAAAATAGCTTAGAGAATGTGGAGGCTTCAAAATATTGATTCTTCTGTCTTCTGCCAGGCAGTTGATAGGAATCAGAAGTAATATGACTTTCAAGAGACTCCAAACTACAAAAAAAATTTGAGAAAAACCGATTTTTCGGCAAACTGGCAGCCGGGGATGCCAATAAAATAGTTCAGAAGACGCAGCAACTTCAGAATATAAATTTTGAGCTCGTCTGACAGGCAGTTAGTCCGAATAAGGAGTGAATGATGCTTCAGTAAAATTCCAGACTACAAACGCCGTGAAACAATCGGATTTTTAGCGCTTCTGGCAGACAATAAAACCGCCAAAATCGTAGAAAAATAGCTAGCGCCAAATTTGAAGTATTGAGTAAACTGTACTTCAGACTACAGAAAATCAATGAAAAATCCTGTCGAAATCGCGTCGTTCGACTTGCCAGGCAACAAGTCAGAAATGAATGGAGAAGCTGAGCCAACTGGAAGGGGAAGGGAGGGAGAGAGAGTGGGGAGAAGAGGAGAGCGCAGACAGGGTGGGGGCCAAGTATGAATATTGCGTGGAAATGGAGCGAGAGGGAGAGAATGGCCAGATTTGGAGGGCAGAGAGGCCGAACTGGGGGCTATCACTCGTTTTACAGGCTGGAGCATGACTCATCCTGTCAATCTGGGAATTATACTATTTATTTCTCCCTTGTCTCTCTCTCTCTCCCTCTCTCTCTCTGTCCCTCTCTCCCGCTCTCTCACTCACTCTTTCTCTCTCTCTCTATCTCTATCTCTATCTCTATCTCTCTCTCGATCTCTCACCCTCTCTCTCTCTCGCTGTCTCTCACTCCTGCTCTCTCACTCACTCTTCCTCTCTATATATCTCTCTCACGCTCTTTCTCTATCTCACGCTCTCTCTCTCTCTCCATTTGCCCATTTTGCGCCCCCACTACCCATTTTTAAAGGGAATGTGCCAGCAAGCAACTGAGGCGAAGAGCTGGAATACATGTCGTGTACGAATTGCCCCTTTCTCATTTGGAAAGCGCTTCAATTGTTTTTCATTATCCCCCTTAATACCATCACGTATTGCTCAAAATTAATGCCATAATCGGTTAACTGGGTACCTTACATCCACTGTCACCGTCCCTTTAAAATGAGACTCACATTCATACTGATTCAGCCCGTCCGTCGTGTGCTCATAATAGGGTTGATTTGTGAATGGAAGGGGTGACGACATCGTTTTTTTAAAAAAATTCCACAGCTAGCGCAAATTCCGCGAAGAATCTCGCTCGGCTTGCCTGACCAAAAAATAGGGCCGTCCCCTTCTGTCGTTAGTCTCGTCACGTTACCGTAGAAAATAGCAGGGCCCCGAGAATATTTATAGCCTCGTTTTTTGCAGAAACAGAATTCCCCGCCCGGGGGTCCCGCAGCGAAAAAGTGCGAAAATAGAAATTTCGAGGAATTAGATGGCGTAACTGGATCGCGAATCGTAGCTTCACGTAGATCTTATTTTCGCGAGGGAATCCTTGATTTTGCCGTCGTAATCGGATCGAAATTTTCGAAATAAACGTCACTATCGGCTGGCAGTCAATCGCAAAATCCAAAAATTCAGGATTTTCTGGCGTAATCGGATCGAAATTGGGAAAACTGCTAGTCAGAATAGCTGTAGAAAAACAGAGCGCTTGATTTAACCTTCGTAATCGGTTCGGAACAGCAAAATGGACAGTAGGACAGTTAGAGATCGATTCTGGACACCTTAAAATTCCAGTTTTCGAATATTTTTGCGTAATCAGTTGGAAAATGGACAGAATGGCAGGCAGATAGAAAGAAGAAACGCCGAAATCGTTGCTAGCCCCCAAGAAGGGCAAATAATTGTGGCCCCTGCGGGCTGGGCCGGGGCCTGACGTTTCCGGTGGATATCGAAATTCCACGAGGTTTCGGGTCTCGGGTAGCTGAGGTGGACAGAAAGCGAGAGAGTGAAGAGAGAGAGAGATAGAGAGAGAGTGAGAATACTCGGTGGGTCAGAACCTGGCTATGCGTCGGTTGGTGGGTGTGTTGAGTAAATATACAACTCTCGCGCCGGCCAAGAATTCCCCTCCGCTCCTCTTTACACCCTCTTTTCACCGCGCTCTCTGTATTTCTTATCTATTCTCACACAACTACGAGTCATCCGAATCGGCTTTCGCCTTGGCTTAATCCCCGGGCTTTCGGTGTATCACTTTAAAGGGCGCGGCAAGGCACGAATTTAGATTTTTGGCTCTAGATTCCCATAGATTTTTGGCTTCCTGCCCCCTTTAAAGCGAACGAAAAACCATCGAAAAAGTCGCTCTCTTAAAGAAATAAATTTTATACATATTTTCAACAGCTGTTTAAAGCTTAATGGACTAGATTATCGCTTCTGGGCGCCTTTAAAATGGCCTTAAGTCAATTTCTGAGTCCGAACCCTATTAATTCGCTGTCACCAGCCCATTAAAACCAAAAGAAAATTATATGGTTCTGGTGCGTTAGCGGGGGGGGAAGCTGTGGAAATCCGGGCGCTTCAGGCCTATCCGGAAACGGCAAGGCCAGTGCCCCACCCCCCGCTAACCAACCAGAACCATCCATTTTTGAGGGTCAGGTGGCTTTTTCACGGTTGAAAAACACGATTTTTGGTACAGTATTGCCCTGTAATTATAGTTTTCTGAATCTGATCCATTAGGTTGACTGGCCCTTTAAAATCCAATTTTTGCTACCCGCACCCGTTTTTCAAAATCTGTCGTTAGCATGAACACTAACCAAGTATAAGTGGTGCTCCATCGAATTTGGGTTGAGTGGGCGGGGCTTGTTGCGAGGATTGTATCGGTTGTAATTGATGGCTGGGTGTGGAGGGGCCGTCGTCGAATAGATTATTCACGATACCTTAACATATCGATATTTAGCATCCGATTACGATACGAAAATACCTCCATAGGTTTGTCCGCCCCCATTCGTCAGTGTTGCCCGAGAATCGCCCATTCAGGGGGAAGCTGAAATAATCGATTACGACGGGTAAATCGAAAAAATGGGTTTGAAAACATATGGAATCATCCTGAAATCCACTTTAAAACGCCTTTAATTTTGTGATAACGATTTTTTAGATGTTTTCAGGCGTCAAATAGCCACACTGCCAGCCAATTTGCACAAAAATCGTACAGAAATCACATTTCAATGCGTGGATGATGATGAAGGGATGTGAATTCGGGATCGATCGCGGCAAAATCGGCCGAATTGCTGGCGGGGCGGTCAAAAGCGGGGTGCAGCGGAACGGAAAGGGCAAAAAATGGGGAAACGGAAGGGTGGAGGCGATACACATCCCCTACTAACGAGATTTCAGACATTTGAAGTTTTTTAAAGGGACTGGGAAGGCAAAAAAAACAACAAGAAAAGCGGAGCTCGGTCAGTTTTGGCTCGATTTTTGGATGATCAAGCGTCAAATGCCGCGGCTAGCTTGCCCTCTTGCAAAAACAAGCGTTGAAAATTTGCTAAAGGGTCTCTGCTAGCTTGCCCGGAAAAGATTCGGCTAACAGAGCACTTAGAAATGACGTTACAATTGCATTAAACCTTATTTAGGCTAAACTCCAGATAACCCCCCCAGCCAGCTCGACCCCCATATGCCCTATTAATGCGCGGAGTATCTCAAAATGTTCGCCGTGGTCTAAAACCTAACGGAAAGTTGTCTGATTTCGCCGAAAATCGCTGGAAATTTTTTATATAATTTTTTCGCAAAACTTTATACAAGCCCAAGCTTAAAATTTTCGACGTCGATTTTCGTTTTTTTTCTTGATTTTTTGACCCAAATTAAATGTTTTCGTATTCTCCAGGTCAAGAGCTACATTTTGGTACCCTTACCAGCCGTGTATGACAAACTAGAGCCGAGATACCAATTTCGACTCTGGGTCAGAAAAAATTAACACAGGCGACCTAGACTTATAATTCTTATAAAAAAATTTATAGCGATTTTTGAGGGAACCAAACAACTTTCCGTTAGGTTTTAGACCACGGCGAACATTTTGAGATACTCGGCGCACTAATAGGAGCTATGGGGGCCGAGCTGGCTGGGGGGGCTTATCTGGAGTCTTACCGTTATTTAGCAATTTTTTGAGGCTCGGACCAATTAGTGGCCATAATTAGTCACGATAAAGGGTTGTGTTTATTTTTCGATTCCGCCCCATCCCAGCCACACGCCTCGAGCAGCCCCCAGCTCCAAAAGGCAAAGCTCAACAGTTCAAGCGCCCAAACAATCAGCGAAATCGAGGGATTTTGCCGGTTACGATAGGTAAATGCGGGTGGAAAATAATTTCATGGCGTAATCAGTTGTCGGTTTGGAAAGCAAGAATTATTAAGTGCGATTTTGTCGGATTTCGATGCCAGCTATAGGAACCGCTGAATTCTGGTTTGGAAAGCAAGAATTATTTGTTGCGATTAATATGGCGTAATCGGTCTTTCTCCAGAACCCCGCAATCTACTACAACATTATTATTTTAGAAAAAAAAGCAGCGGAATCGATTTCGCGATGAGTTTTTGTGGCGTAATCGGATACAGAAAAAAGCCGAAAATCGACATTGTGAAGACGCGCGCTAAATTCGGCATTTATTAACGTATCGTAACCGATTGCGGCACTTTTCTGGGATCTATCAACGTCAAAAAAAAAGAAAAATTTTAGTATATTTTTTTATTTTCGCGTAATAGGAAACAATTACGCAATGTAAATGTAAAAAGTTACAATCCAACCGATTACGCCATGTAATTCCCCTAGCAGAACTAGCATAACGAAATTGAATCGATAGAAAGGCTGAAGGTCAGCCGGAATGGCCAAAAAAAGGCTGCGGGGTGCGCGTGCTGGCTGTCTCTAGCGGGGGGTATACGTTCGGGGGACAGTCC